TATTCCTCAATAACAGTATGGTTATTCCTCAATAAAATTACCATTATTCATCATACTGTTATTCCTTAATAACTCAATAACAGTACTGTTATTCCTCATACTGTTATTCCTCAATAAGAGTACTTTTATTCCTCATACTGATATTCCTCAATAAGAGTACTTTTATTCCTCATACTGTTCTTCCTCAATAAGAGTACTTTTATTCCTCATACTGTTATTCCTCAATAAGAGTACTTTTATTCCTCATAGTGTTATTCCTCAATAACAGTACTGTTATTCCTCAATAACAGTACTTTTATTCCTCATACTTTTATTCCTCAATAACGGTACTGTTATTCATCAATACCATCACTGTTATTCCTCTTCTCAAAGATGATTTTTAAGCCTTGGTTACCCCTTCCAACTGGTTTTGTAGCCTTTATCACCACTCAAAATGTTTCTTAGCAGTTGTACCCCTCCAAACGGATCAACAATGGGGCACTACTGTAGCAGTGTTGGTATCTTGTTGTATTGTTCTCTTTTTCTCATACAATAACAAAAAATTAATTGCTAAAAAAGATTCAATAATGACTTTATTGTATTTGATTTATCAATAAAATCAATAACTGTTAGTGTGCTGTGATTTCCAGTGAAACTAGGCAGATTTGATGAGAATAAAAATTTATACCTTAGTTTTTCATTTGGTTGTTATTGGGATGTTATTTGGTGTTATTTGTGGGTGTTAATTTATTGCATTTGAAATCCATGGTACCAGATTGGCAATAACACATGGGGAAAGCACTAATTTCCCCTTCATGTATCAAATCTGAAAATACTTAAAAGCATTTGGCAAAAATATTCAAGTACACCACAACTGTTATTTTATTGATCTCAACCTTCAAAAAAATATTTGGGACACAAAATTCAAGATGAGGTGACAATCAATCAACTGTGACATTTCTTATTTAGTTAGTTCTCCATCTGATTTCTTGTAATGTCCTGGGCTTAGTCACTAAAATTCTGTGATTCATGTATTTTGATATCTCTGTGACTCAAGAGAGGGCTGTCAATAACCACATCAATGCTACAAAGTGGGCCCATTGTGGTGAGACCCAAGGAATAAATCTCCTGTAAAATTTAGTAAAACCCAAGAATCAAGTCCTTTGAGGAAGGGGGAAAAAGCCACTTGTCTATCATCTGAGATCCCAAAAATGAGATGAATTGCCCCAATTGAAGCCCTTTGAATAATGCAGTTAACACATTGTCTACTCTTGACGGGAAAAAATAATAATCACTGCAGTTGAAACATTATCTATATTTGATGGCCAAAAATTATAGTCCCCAGTAAAAATAATGTACTATCTCATAGAAGTGGATAGCTATTTCACTCAGATGATAAGGATAATGTAGAGTAAGATTTCAGAACATACAGAATGTCATATTAAAACAACACCAAGACAGAAAAATTGCGTTGCATTCTCCCAATTGACACCTTTTGACCTTCAGAGGTAGATAACACATAGGGGTGATCAATTATGAAAAATGTGAAATCTCAAAGCCGCATTGTTACATAAACTTACCCACCATTTTTAATGAATGTATTTTGGAATAGAGAACTTCTTTTCCAGCCAAATCCATCACAAAACATATTTTAAAAGAGCTACATTGTTTATCTACATTTGATGGAAAAAATGAAAATATCCAGTGACAATAATGCACAATTCCAGAACAGTGGGTAGCTAAAGACTCAGATAACAGAAATAATGTAGAATTATGTACTACCTGGGATTTTGCCCTCAAAGAATTTGTGTAGTAGTTGATTATGACCCAGATTATGACCCAGTTTTTTAGCAATTCTCACTCCTTAAAACAAGGTTATCACCCCTCAGAATGTCAACAAGCTATACAGAGGTTATCACCCCTCAAAACAAGTTACATAAGGGTTATCACCCCTCAAAACAACTTATAAAGGGGTTTTATCCCCTCAAAACAAGTTATATAGTGGTTATCACCCCTCAAAATCACTTACAATTTTAGGTCTGCCTGGGAAAAAATAAAGGAGTAGATTGGTTGTGCATAACAAAAAAGGTTGAACACTCCTAACGTAAATAGATTTTGGAGTGTGAAACAATTCACCCCACCTTTTTGCAGTCATGAACATTTTGCACTCCAAATAAATGGGAGTGAATGTAGTTTACTCCACTTTTGCAGTGCATTTAGTAAAATATTGATGAAAATTGAGAGAGACCCATTATAATCACTATTTTGAGGGGTTAAACTACCTGTGAAGGTATTTGTGAGGGGTTAAACTACCTGTGAAGGTATTTTTGAGGGGTTAAAATATCTGTGAAGGTATTTTTGACGGGTTAAAATACCTGTGAAGGTAAAGCTTGAAAACAGACATTAGTCGCGCTGAGACAGTTAAGAAGATTTTGACCTCAACAGAGGAAACCTGCAAAGTCCTGTGGGATTTGATCTCCAAAGATGAACAACAAAAACTTAGGATGCTTCAAGAAGAGCGGAAGATACTGATGATAGTAGAATTTAGTGAGCTTGTCAGGGAGCTGCTAGATCATGTCAAGGCCTGGTATTTCCTAATAAGGGAAGCCCTCAGAAGCCTCATGATGCATGAAGCACTGAGGTGTAAGTCCTTTTTACAGAAACAATAAAGCTTGTTGCTTGAGCCTTGAAAGAACTTCAGAATCTACATTCTTTTTTCCCTCATCAAGTTGTTGTAAAGTTCTTTTTTTTGCTGCATGTTTTTTTGCTTTGGTTTTTGATAGCAATGAAAATTAGAATCTTGTGTGATTTCTGTCAAGTTATGGCAAGTACTGTTAAGCTGTGAAAAACCAAAATGCTTGCATTTGAATCGGAATGCTTGCATGGGTCAACTTTAGGCTCAAGTTCAGCCAGCAGTTTCTTCATGGAACTGGAGACCAGAAATTTATTTGGGGAGCTGGCAATAATTTTCTTCACCCAAATATCACAAATTCTACTATCTCCCCCAACATGGTGGTGAGGAAACAAGAGAACCCCAGCCAAACTGATATTCTGATAAATGCTGATTCCCCAGGATTGGCTACATACTCATGGCTCATAAGTGAAGATTATTTTCATTTTTTGACAAAAATGTTGTCAAGCTTTGCTCCATATTATGGAAACTTTCTCATAAGTATGATATTGAAAAGTAGGAAAATAAGAACCTTGTACATATTTCTTTGGCTGATTCAGTGGGAGTTGTCAGCTTTTACATGTACAGTCTCCTCCCAGATGTTTATAGCCATCTGCTTTGAGCTCCACAGTGGGAAACAAAAAACTTCAATTCACAAGAGTTTGTGGAATGGTGGAAAATGGGATTCAAAGAATGAATATAAAATAATAATAATAAAAAACAAGATTTTAAAATTTGTGAAAAAGATAAAAGAAAATCAACTTTTTTTGAAAACTTTAATTTTTTGTTTGAGTGAAAAGTGAACACACAGAGGGCAAGTTTGGAACATGAACAGAATGATTATAAATGAAAAATATTGATCCAAAAAAAGTTTGAGTATGGTGGGTGGACACCCTGCAGTAAAAATTAGTAGATTGCAGTACCAGAATGCCACATTTCTTGGTGAATGACCCCTTAGGCACCATTTTTAATCTACCAATTAGTCATTTTTTTCAAAATTTTCACTTCTTCTTATTCATTCCAGATCTCATAAAATCACTTCTGAGATTTCATCTTTTCCTGAAAGAAATATTAGAGCTGTCAGTTTTTGTGATTTTCTCATTTTTATTTTTTACAAATTTGATAATCTTGTTTTTTATTCTTATTTGTTCATATTCATTCTTGTAGACCCATTTTCCACCATTCCACAAAATCTTGTGACTTCAAGTTTTCAGGCTCCCTGTGTGGAGCTCAAAACAGATGGCTATAAACATATGGGAGGAGACTGTACAAAGAACATATGTGATTGGTTCAGGAAGCAGAAAGTAAACTCCTACTCCAGGAAACATCAACACAACACATTTGAATGTTTTTTTGGGGTTGATCATCTTGATTTCAAAATACCTTTTTTAAATAATTTAAACCAAAGGTTTAAAAAAGCATTTAAACTAGGGGTTTATGTGTATTGATCTGAAGAAGAAATGTCAAAAAAGAATTATTTATCTTTATACATGTCTGGAAGTAATCAGGGTCATTCCGGAAGCCTTTTATAGATTGTTGCAAGTCCTCAAAAAAAGGATATGAGTATAAATTCAGTTATTGAGAAGCAGAAAAATCTGGGTATCACAAGTGTGCAAGTTGTCATATGTTCATGCACAAAGAATCATTTACAGATAACTAGTGTCTTGGATAACATTTTTTGGCTCTTTTTTGAATTAAAATGGATACAATAGAAGCATTGATACCAAAATTGTTTCTAATTGGCTCACCATTTGAAGTTGCCCCAAGTTAAAAATCTAACATAATAAATAACATTTAACTTCCCAGTGCTGCTTTGGTACACCAAAGCCCACACCAAAGATTTGTTCCCAGACCCTGACTTTTGCTGCAAGGGCTTAGAGAACCCAGCAGCTCTCCCTGAACTATGAGGGCCTCTGAAAAAGCCAGCAAAGGCCAGCAGCTGGTCTACTCTAACCCAACTAATGCACATAGTCCCAAATGGGCCAGAAGTTTTTCCTCCACAGTGATTGTCTCTCATATTTTATTTTTTTAACCTACACTGGTAGTGATACACAGGTACAGTCAATAATTTTCACATTGTTTCTTGCCATTTAAATTAAATGATGTGATTCTACTTTCATACTGCCAAATACTAAGTACTTCAAACCAGGATTTAAGTACTTTAAATCATCCGCGGCCCCAGCTGGCTCGAATGACTACTAAGTTTTCTTTCCCATCTCAATTCTCGCCCAATCTCTTGGCCAAAAAGTCTTTGACCACCTTTCATGTTGGATTTGTTCTGATTTCTCGAACAGGCTACACACAGTGGGTGACTTGACAATCGACAACTGCTTGAAGAGAGTTTTCCAAGATGGATAGTTTGTCGGTCGAACTCAAGCCTGTCAACCTCAACTCGTGCTTTTCATCAACGTCCCCAGGTATTCACCAACAGAATATCGATGAAGTCTTGTTGATCTCAAGCCAATACTTGAACTGGAACTCGAAAAAGTAAGTTTTCTTTTTTTTGATTGATCGGATATTGGTCCTACTCTATTTTTGGCTCAACTAATCAGTAGGACTGTGTTAATAGCTTGGCCTTTGGATCGATCGGGAGGAAGAAGCATGTTCTCCTCCCTCAACCGCCCCCTTCCTGGTCTGCTCGAGTCATGTACTTTTCGACCAAATCCAATCCACCCTCCAACTCGACCCCACTCACCATCCGCAACACCTCCTACACCTCTCTCTGGCCCAAGCCATCCCACTCTCAGTCATCCTACTCGAGCTTATCGATCTAATTCCAGGCTCATTCTTGATCAAGTCCCCCGAATTTCAAGCCGAACTCAAGTCTCAGCACAGTCTGCTACCTCTGATCATCCAGCAATCCGAACTTCTCCAAGTCCATCTCCCATCCTTCCAGTTGGTCTCCAGCCGGGGACTTGGTTGTTTCTCACGTCATTGCGCTCAGACCTAGCAGAGGGCTGACAAAAATTATGCCACATTCATGAGCATATCATAGAAACCAAAAGAATTAAATAATACTAGTAAATAAAAGAAGCAAATGACTAATAAAGGAAGAAAATGACTGAATAAAAGAAGAAAATGTCACTATTTGAGTTTTCTCTTTTTGTGGCGAAGTTTCTGCCTCCTGATAGACTTTTGGTCATGTAACTCTAACAGATCAATTTTTAAGTCTACTCTAGCAACTTGATTATGCTTCTGGAACAATGCAAGGCCAACAGCAATGACAAAGGTACTGCAGACCACCATCTGAAAAAGTGATAGGCAGTTAGCTTCCCATCATACCAGCTTTCAGAGATGAAGAAACGAAAGAAGAAGTGAAAGCACATTCTTGATCATACCTTGAAGATTGTATTATTATCTCGTACTTCATGCTCTTTTGGAATCTTCTCTTTCCCCTGAGAGGGAGACAGATGTGTGAGTTGAGTTTTTCCTGGCTGCTCGATGGTTTTGTGATTGTGATTATCAAACTGAGGAAGTTTTGGTGCAGCAGGTGGAACAACAGCACAACATTCGGGAGCATCTGAGACTATTGGAGGAGTTTCAACTAGATTGAGCTGAGGACTTTCCTGTCCTCTCAATTGATTCAGAAACACCTCCATGTCAGCGAGTTAGTCAAGAGCTTTTAGAGCTGGAGATGATTTGATCGGATATCTTACGCTGTTTTGCTGTAGATCTGATTCTCCATGTGACCAGTCATTCGAACACCGGGCCTCGACTGCTGTTGAATAAGTGGCGGCATCTGATGCTTGGTCAGATCTACGTAATCTAGCACGTATCACATAAGAATAGAGGTTCATACCACAAGGTTGATGTAATTGCAATGTCTTGTTTCGAAGGCATGCTCTCAACGATACATTTTCCTTGATGGAATCCTTGAGTTGCTCCTCGGTCCGCAACA